ATCCATTGTTGGTTTATTACAACTCTATTTGAATAATTCTCATTACTTTTGTCAAATAGGACTTCTCTTTTTCTCACTGCTTCAATCAATGCTTCTGCCTCCATCTTGCTTGTCTGGTCCGTGCTGGTTGAATTTTAGTGTCGCACTAAAATGAAATTACCACCAAAACGACGGGCAAACGCTGGATTCATGCGGGGTTCACGCTGGTCGGACAAAACGGCGCCACTCCGTTAGGCGTAGTGCTATCTATATTACGTAAAATTTTGACCCGTCATTTTGCTGTTGCTGTGCTGTTGCTGGTCTGATGCTGGACGCACTGTGTTGGAGCTCTTAGCTGTACTATTTGTGATGTGTTATAGCGTGGATCATGTTGGCTGTTTTGAGCTGCTAGTGTTTTGTTTCTTCATGGTTCAGCCAATATAGCGAAAAATAAATATAAAGTACATTTACAACAGTGCAGCTGAAATTTTTTTTTGGTTTCCATTTTCTTGTTTATTTGTTTCTTCCTTTCTCTTTAGTTTGAGTGGAGCTGCGGTATCACCTGTGCGGTTGCCCTTTTATGTGTCTTCTTTACATCGATTTGTAATTAAATTAGTGCAGTGGGTTCCACTTATATTTTTTACTTATAACAGTGACAGTCCCAGTTATATTCAGATATCAGCTATAGCAGACACATGATGAAATGTGGAAAAAACCAAATGAAGCAAAACAACAACCGACATTGATGGTGAATTGGACCTGGGTCTTTGTTTGCCTATTGAAATTGATTTATTAAGAGTTTTGTTAGGATCAAAGAGTTCACCCTCCGTTTTGTCTATCTGCATTCTGCTCGCTTGGGTCTGTCCTTTTGAGAGCCTATCGTTGCCATGTGATCCCGTGGCATACACAGGGTGTCTGTTCACGTTGAACCTTCCCGCAACTAACGATAGCGGAGTGCCCACCTGAAGCATTTCAAAGATGTGATTTCTTTCAGTTTCAGATTCATTCAGCCAAAGCATGGTGAATAAAAAAAGAGAAGCCACTTTTATATGTGGCGAGAAACTTGGAAGGAGTCCAACTTTGCGTGTGTAGTTTTTGTTCTCCAAGTTACCCACATATTTTCACAGCACATGTATTTGACAAAATTCAAAACCACGTGAATGACATCGCCAGACAAGACGATAGACCAGTGCACCCTAGTGAGTACAGTTCACGAAGGACAATGCACTTACGTGACATGTGTAAAAATGTCAAATTAATTGGATGTGTAGTTTTTGAGCTTTTAAAATGTGTGAAGTTTAAAATGTTAATTAGTGCCCAAAAATTGACAAGCGCCTGACTCCACCGTGTCGTAACACACCAACACACGCACACAGACACACACTCACACACACACACACATGCACACACACACACACACACACCAACACACGCACACACACAGACACACACACACATACACACACACACACACATACACACACACACGCACACATACACACACACGCACGCACGCACGCACGCACGCACGCACGCACGCACGCACACACACACACACACACAGGG